AAGCTTCTCAACACACAGAAACTAAAATTGAACTCACTAGCCCATTAAACTCCTTTTTACAACCAACCAGATCAACATCCACAACGTATGACCACAACAATCACGAGTCTGGAGCACTGTTTTTGTAGCAGCGCATTACTGCAGCACGCTCCAATGATGAGCACCACATGGGCCCAATCAGCTCTACCTAGTGAGCAGGCAGAGAGACACAGTGAAAGTAAAAGAGAAAACACACAACATAACCACTTTCAATGGGCAGTAAACACATAAACAAACAACAATAATAATAAATACATCCAAGGGATGTAACACCAAGCAACAACAAAAAATTATTTAAATGAGCATTAGGAGTAGCATTACATGGACATCGGAAAAGTAAGACCTGTGCAAGCATATTTAAGACCTAGAACAGCGAATTTAAGACTTTTTAAGGCCTAAATTTTAGATGTTTATATTTTAGACCTTTTAAGAGCCCACGGAAACCCTGTGTAAGCCAGATGGCACAGCAGAGGGCAGGTTTCATTCACTTATTGTATGCGCTTTTTGGATATGCACATAAAAACGGTTGATGGAAACTCTATAATGCGAATATTTTTCGAAAATGTGTGTGAATGTACAAAACAGCAGGCTAAGCACATTGTAAAACATCTAAAGTGTTGTTTTGGTCATTCTAAACCGCCTCAACCATTTCAGTATTGTTATAATATTAATATTTTAATGACTGTCAAAATTGTCAAGAGTGTCTGCACTCCATGTCTCGCGCCTTCAAACGCCAGCGCGCGTTCACTGCAAGTCATTTATTAAATGAAGATAATATAGTCCCGTAGCTGCTCCCACCGATGCATATTCTGTTTTTACTTTTGATGTTTGTCGCCAGTTAATCAGAAGGTGGCGATTTTGTTCTCTTTGACTTGTTGGACGGAAACGCTGCTTTATTTACATAGTCTTTTATGCGATATTCTAGTTTTGGGCATACATTTAATTAGCATTTAAGATGATAACATAGCTATTAACACTGCATCAGCACAGCTGTCCCCTTTCTTCCCCATGTACCTGTAGGTGAACAGCTCCTCCGGGTGTGGCCATGGGCATTCATCCTCTGCTTTTTCTTCCTCATTTCTTCTGTCTTAAATCTCCATATGTCTATTGATAACTTCGTGACTGTATGATGATGACGGTCAGCTCACGTAAATCTGCAGTAGCCTGAACTTGTTTTTCGGTTCAAATAATATACCAGGCTTTTCATTGGTCCATTAAGATGACCTTTTTTTATTGGCTACAGAAATGCTGGTCAGTGTGGGGTTGAAATAATAATTTATTTACAGTACTCTGTAACGAATTGTGATTTTAAAAGTTACAAAGTAGATTACTCAGCTTAATTTGTACTCAAGTACAAGTAAAATTACAGGCTTAAAATTATACCCATGGAAGTACAATTACCCCAACAATGTACTTAATTACAGTAACATGAGTAGTTGTAATTCGTTACTCCCACCACTGCTGTTTACTGCTGAGTGTGACATGGCAGGGAAAGAAACAGCACCTCTAAGTCAGAGACCATGGTGCTCGACTGGACAAAGGTGGCCATCTCCAGTTTGAAGGAAAGTCCTTAACTCAAATGTAGCTCAAGTATCTGCGTTTTTTTCATGAGGAATGAAATGTGAGATTAAAAGATGGATCAGTGCAGCAGCAGCAGTTTTGCAGTTGATGTGATTGTCTGTTGTGGTGAACGAGCTGAGATGAAAGGCAATTTTTTCAATTTACCGCTCAATCAAGGTTCCTACTCTCACCTATGGTCATGACTGAAAGGACAAGATCTTAAATACAACCGGATACATTTCACAAAGTGTTATGATCTGCTTGTTTGAGTCGCAACATAAAAGAGAGATGAGCCAACAAAATAGCCTGAATGCAAATTATTTATTATAAAATGTAACTCATAAAACCATGAATCAAAGCAACCAACAAATGTCTAGGGATAATAATGAAGATAAAGAACTTAGGATATAATCACAACAACACTTTAACTACATGATACAAGCAATGCAAAACAAAACCCTAAGGTTAAAGATTTAATGAGAAGGCAGGTCTTGACATGAGGACTCCTGGGTGGCCACGGCGTCCTGGATTAGCTAGCAGCCTAGCACAACAACTTTTATATACCCATAGATGAGTAATGCAGGCATCCAATCAGGATTTACCACATACTCCAATCTGGAGTCTTGAGATCATCACAGTGTAGTAATATTGTACAACTTAATACCTGTCACTCTGCCTAAATCATCAAATATTCATAATTCATCTTTATTTATTTGTGTCTTTCCAGTGATGCTACTCATTCAGGGAGTCAGACAGAGAACATCATCCAAAACAACACTAGCTACATGAATACACTAGAGAGTGGAGTACAGATGTATCCGCACCTGTACAATCACTTGCAAAGAGAGATTTTAAGCTGCTGAGATGCTGTTTTTCAGATGTTTATGAAACTGTTCTTCTTTCAGCTGCCATCATTGTGTTCAAGGTAAACGCGAGGAGCGCAACACATTTACAACCCCACCTACTGCAGTGTAGGAGTGTTGGAAAACAGTATATCGTCACTCAGTCTTTTCAAACATTATTCAGACATAAAACATCCTGTGCACAGAGAAAATGTTTTGCTGCATTCATGTCATGTGTGCAACTTTTGTCCAATTCTGTAGACACTCATCAGATCTGTACGGTTTCTCTCCAGTGTGAATCTTCTTTTGTGTTTTCAGATGTGTTAACTGATTAAACCTCTTGTCACAGTGTGAACACTTGTACGGTCTCTCCAGTGTGAAACGTCGGGTGCAGTTTAAATTTTGAAATAAAAGTCTTCTTACACTCAAAGCACAAATACTCTTTCACACCAGTGTGGATCTTTATGTGTTCATTAAGGTTTGCTAATCGGTTGAAACTCTTCCCACACTGAGTGCATTTAATGGTTTATCTCTAGTGTTGGTCTTCATGTGTTTATTAAGGTCTGAGGAGTTGCTGAACCTCATCCCACACCGAAGCTGCAGTCACACTAGAGTTTGAGCATGCAAAATTCTGTTGTTTGGCGCTGTGAAAAGCGGCGGGATTAAACAAGATTATTAGACATAAAAAGCGAGCTATTGGTCCATATTTTACATTTCTGTCCAGAAAGGTCATGTTTTGATCTTTGATTGGTCTCACACAGTCAAGTGATGCGATTTTGCAGGTCAGAGTTCACCAAGCTTGAACTTTGCAATGCAGTGAACTGCGAAACTTGACACACAAACGTGGTTTCCGGTCTGACACATTCCCGTGCGTATGAATGGAAATCCATGGGGAAAAAAGTCCATTGTGACCGCTGCTTAAGTGCAAGTTTCTCTCCAGTGTGGCTCATAATGTGTAGATTAAGGGATGATGAGCAGATGAAACTCTTCCCACACTGAGTGCATGTGAATGGTTTCTCTCTAGTGTGGATCCTCATGTGTCGATTAAGGTTTGATGATTGGTTGAAATTCTTCCCACACTGAGTGCATGTAAATGGTTTCTCTCCAGTGTGGATCCGCATGTGTTCATAAAGGTGTGATGAGTAGTTAAAGGTTTTTCCACACTGGGTGCAAGTAAAGGGTTTCTCTCTAGTGTGGATCTTCTTGTGTTGATTAAGGGATGATGATTGGCTAAAACTCTTCGCACAATGCGTGCATCTGAATGGGTTCTCTCCAGTGTGGATCATCATGTGAATCTTAAGATCGAAATTTCTTCCAAAACTCTTCCCACACTGAGTGCATGTGAATGGTTTCTCTCCGGTATGAATCATCATGTGTTCATTAAGGTGTGATGATCGGCTGAAACTCTTTCCACACTGAGTGCATGTGAATGGTTTCTCTCCAGTGTGGATCCTCATGTGTTGATTTAAAGGGTCACGAAACACCAAAACACATTTTTTGAGCTGTTGACAGTCGTATATGTGTCCCACACTGCTAAAAACACTATTAGGACCCCTATATTTCACTAAAAAGTGTAAATTGGTTGTTTTTGCGTTATTTCAAGCAAATTCGTACTTCCTGTTTGAAACGAATTTGTTTCGGTCACGGTCATGACATAATAGCGTGTATTCCAGCGTGCAGACTGGGCGTCTGTGCCAGAGTGTGTCTTATTACGTCTTACAGTGTGTTGCATTAATGCATGAGTAAGGCTTGGGTCAAACCAATCAGCGCGCTCTATTGTGCAACTTCATTAATATTCATTACTATCACCGTGTTTTCAGGACAGAGACGCCACGTTGTGTTGGCAAAACAAGCGTGAAGTGTTGCTTTTATAGTTTGCTGCAGTTAAGTTTCGTTTTCATTTTCTCTCTGTGAGAGCTCAGACTCACGTGTGGATTACAGTGTACGCGACGCGCGACAACAATTACGTGTCTAAGGAGGATTATTGTTTACCTGAGAGCTGTTCTCATCTGCAAACGCTGGGATCTGGAATCGTTTGTAGTATTCTCTTCATAAAGACGCGGCTCTAGTTGCTGGTGATTGTCCTGTCTCTACAGATTTGGTAAGTGAGCGACCAGTGCTCTTTGTTTATTCAGTTTGTTCGTATCTAACAAACTATTGCACAGAGTGTTAACACGTTAGCACCACAACCAAACTTTAACCTCGTGTAGGGTTTTTACCGCATTTAGTGACCGGAATAACACGCGTGGCTTTCTGACACTACCTGTCGTGTGCATCTAAGTTTCTGGGAAATGCAGAGGGTTTTTTTTCTCTCATTCGCCGTGCGGTATCAAACATTGCATGAAAAACACACGCTTAGAGCAGCTCCTCGAATCAAATATCTCGTGTGTCGCGAGGGGCATGAATGAATTCCCTGAATGAAAGAGCCAAACTGCAGTTAAAGTCCACCATTTAATAATTTGGCTAATAATTCAACTACAGATGTCCATGTAGGTTAAACACCATCACATTCTCCTGTATGTATGTGTGTGTGTGTGTGTATTTTGACTCTGAAACTCGCGCGTGCCCAAATCGACACTCCCACACCCTCCCACTTTAGTTCCTCCGACACTCCCCCCTAAACAGAGCTGGACACGCCCACTTTTCTGACTTTTTCCAAAGAAGAGGTGTGAAAACACCCTGCTGAAACGAGGGGGTTTCATGGCCCTTTAAGTTTGATGATTGGCTAAAACACTTTCCACACCGAGTGCATGTGTATGGTTTCTCTCCAGTGTGGATCCTCCTGTGAATCTTAAGTTCCCTTTTTCTTCCAAAACTCTTCCCACACTGAGGGCATGTGAATAGTTTCTCTCCAGTGTGGATCCTCATGTGAATCTTAAGATAGCCTTTACTTCCATAACTCTTTCCACACTGAGTGCAGGTGAAACTATTTTTGTCTCCCCTTTTCAAAATACCATCAGTCTGTAAATGAGTTTTTTCCTCAATTTTAACATGATGTTCCTCCTCTTTACTGCCCTCATTCTCTTCAATCAGGTCTGAAATAAATAAAACATGTTTTCATTAAGTCTTAAAAACTCTCATCAAAAGCTGAAAAGTGGAAAGACACTGGAAACATTGGCTACACACACTGCAATTTTGATGCATGGTAAATGTAAAATAAATCAGATCATATTTTGTTTGGTCTATTAACATGTACACATTTAAGCAGATGCAATTCAATTCATCTTTATTTATCTAGTGCTTTTAAAATGTAAATTGTGTCAAAGCCGCTTAACATAGAAGTTATAGTAAATTGAAACCGTGTCAGTCCAGTTTTCAGACTTTCTTACATAATTGATCATAAAAGTAATTTTGGTCATATTAATAAGACAGATTTGAAAGCTGTAAATTGAATTTTTATTTGTATATATTCATAATTACAACAAAATGTTTTTCTAAAATGTGTAAAGCAGACAGGGAACAGGGCCGGAGTGGGACTCCTTTTTAGCTCTGGAATTTCAAGCCTTAGTCCGGCCCACCTCAGTCGACGACTGACTATATCAATAATAATATGCGGATGATCTTCTTTTTCTGTCGAATCCATTTACATGTATTCCAAAAGTTTTTACAATAATTTCAGAATTTGGAAATGTTTCTGGATACAAAGTCAATCTAGCAAAGAGTTTCCTTTTCCCTATCAATGATAGAGCACAGAAAATGTCCTTCCAATCCTTTTCATTTTCATTTTATCGAAGTCCTGATAAATTTGTATAGTGACGCGCAAATATAAGGATTCGTTCAATAATAATTTTAAAACGACATTAGTGCTCAAGGACGTTTTTAGTGCTCAAGGACACTTTACAAACAGTAGTAGAACAAGAAAAGCAACAACCTTAAGAAGGTAGAGAAAATGGGAGACTAATAATACATAAAATAATGACAAAAGACCTGAGAACAAGTAACAAAAGAAACTCGTTCCTGTCTTTCAATAAGTGCTTATGTGCATTTAAGAGAACTAGGCAGCACACTCAGGGCTGCAAGATGGATTTAATTTAGTATTCTTATTATTAAAATGTATCTGAATGAAGATCAAATGACTGAGTTGGTTTTGAGAATGAAAATTAACCTGTTTGTTCCTGCAGATCTTCCTGTTTGACTGTGATTGTTTCTTCAATCTTCACATCTTCACTCTCCTCTTTAATAAACGCCATCTTTATAACAGTGTGGAGATCAGTCGCTTCAGCAGGAGCTTTTCACTGCGTTTGGACACTTTATCCTGTTTAAAATGAACAAAACAATGAACAGAAACAAAATAACTTCTTTTCAACACTTGCTTCAACAGTTTCTTTATATGAGAGTGATTGACAAAAATAAATCAGGTAAGTCTGAGCAAGAAACAATAGCCAAAAACAAATGACCTAATAAAATAAAAACTAGTTCTCCATTTATTATATATATATATATATATAATATTGTATACTTATATTAGAATGACATTATACTAGTAAATAAATAAAACCTTCATTGAAACAAACATTTCTGTTGTTCAAACAATAGCCCTCGATTACTGTGATTAAAATAGTACTTCGTTATATAAAGAATTAAAATAATAGTCAACAGCAGGTGTGTCATATTGGAAGAAAAACCTGAAACTTTAATCAATCGGTTTATATGTGTAAATTTGTGAAACAAACCTTCCTCCAGTTGAACTGCAGCGCGGAAGCGGCGCAGCCTTATGACGTCACACAACACGCCAAAATAAAAGTCTTTTTTGTTCAGTTTTTTTTTTTTTGGCCACTTACTGTTGCAGTCAGGACATGATAAATTTCTCTCTCGTTTTCCACTTTACACAACATATCTGCTGTCTTTCATATACATCGAAATTCAGTATTTGAAGTTGATCAAAACTTTTAATTCAAACATTTTAAAACAATTTTGAAAAACTTGTTTAATCCACTAAGTTTAAGTGTTTTTTTATTATTATTGTTGCAAAAAAAGTTTACATCACAAAACAGGGAACAATCAACATCGCAAGGCATATTTACCATTAAAATAAATAAAACAAATTTAATTTGTTACAACTGCAACAAAAGATCTACATAAAAAGAGAAACAAAACATTATGACAATAAGTGTTTTAAAAATAAAGTACAGAGAGCTTCAGTTATTTTACTTTGATTTCTGAAGTATTTGAAGCTTTGAGCCACTTTCTCTACCTCAGAAAGAAAACACCTAAAAGAGGGTCAGCACTTTTGATATTTACCCATTAAAATAAAGTTCACAACATCAGAGAAAGAACAATGTAAATCAGCTTTGTCAAATAAAATATCTTCTAGAACAATAGGGGGGACTGAAATCATCTTTAATGAAAGCCAAGGATGGATGTCAAACCAGAATTTAAAAGTAATTTCACAAGAAAAACATAAGTGATCGAGTGTTTCTGGAGCAGAAGCTACACTTGTCAACATCAAAGTTAAATCTTTTTTGAATAAACTAATTCACAGGATATATCCTGAATACAATTCTGTAATGAGTTTCCTTAACCTTTGGTGCTACAGGATATTTTAGATAAAAGGTAAAAGCTTTGTCCTCTACTAAGGGTTTAACAACTCCTAGATGATGACACTTAAAATCACCAATGATAAGCATTTAAATTGTTTGTAAATAAGCTTGTTGTTACATTTACTATCGAAAATATCAACATTTGATATTTTTAAAAATGGAAGAAAAGTTACAAGTGTACATGGGAGATCAAAACAATTACTTTAAATTAGCCTAAATAAAGCAATAGGTATAGCCTCGCAAATTTCAGTATAACCTTTATCAGTGATTTTAAATCTATATTTATTTAAAAATTCGTTATGAGATAGTAGCAGTCCATTTACATCTAACAAATCATTAATAAATATAATGCCTTTATTGTACCAGTCACTTCTAAACAATGATTTCCTGTTAATAATAACAGCCCAATTATTCCAAAGAGTGGATTTATGAGGGAAAAAATATGGGTAAATATCATTTTCCAAAAAAGTAGTTCTTGCTTATGAAAATTAGACAGCTTCAAATGAAGTTTTGAACAATCATAATCATATCTTAATACAAATTCAAGGCCAACATTTTTTAAAACAAATTATTTGGCATATGATACCATATTGAATAAGGCTTAGCTAAACACTCTTTCAATCATTTAACTCTAAAAGTGCCAAGAAGACATTCAAAATCGATTGCTTTCAAACCTCCATATTCATACTCTTTGACCATATGATTCTTACGTAAATAATGTGTTTTATTTTTCCAAATAAATTTAAATAATATTGAATTTATAGATTTACCTAATTTGGGAGGAGTATATAAAGGATAAGTTAAATATATAATTTTAGATAATCCCGGTCAAAAGAATTGTACCCAATATGGAAAGGTCTCTAGCTAGACAATGATTTAGGGATTTTTCCATCCCTTCTATTTTGATATTACAATTTGCACATTCTCTATTAACAGAATTTTTGAAGATGGTAACTCCCAAGTATTTAACTTGTCCTTTTACTTGAATACCCTCTAACTCTCTTAAAGTACAATTCTGAATAGTTAATATTCCACATTTTCTTAGGTTTAAGGTGAATTTAGAAGTTTTAGGAAACAGAAATTTTGACAAGAGCTAAAGGGAGCACCTCCCTATTCTTAAGAATTAATAGAGTGTCATCAGCAAACTGACTTAAACTAAAAGTCCTACCAGGTATATCAATACCTAAAGTGTACTCTGAATTTTTTTAATATAATGACATAAGTTCAACAGCTATATTAAAAAGAAAAGGTGAGATGGGACATTCTTGATGGATTCCTCTTTTGATGTAAACTCTAGGACATGATCCTAAATTCAGAGATTTACTACTCAATATATCAGTATAGAACATGGAAATTACCCTAGAAAAGCTTGGACCAAACCCAAAAGTTTCTAAAGACGTTCTAAAAACAAAAAAGGATGCTCAAGAGTATCAAATGACTTGAAAAAGGCTAGAAATAGAAATAAACTTGTCTGAGGAATTAAATAATCGAGCATATCAACTTTCAGTCTGAATACTTCTCCCTTTAATGAAAGCTGATTGTGTTTCATTAATTATCTCGCCTATACCTTTTTTTTTGAGTCTATTAGCTAATAGATGAGAAAGCAATTTAGAATCATTGGACAAAAGAGTTATGGGTCTCCAATTGTCTAAAAATAATTTGTCTTTGCTTGGCGTTGGAACTAAAATTATTAAAATCTGCTTCATAGAAGTCGATAGTTCTGCTTTCTCTTTACTTTCCTTAGTTGCTTCAAAAACTAAAAATCTTATCTCTGGCCAAAAATGTTAATAAAACTCAACTGTAATTCCGTGTATGCCTGGATTTTCCATTGGACATTTTAGAAATAGCAACATCAAGTTCAGAAATAACAATGTCAGATTCCATCATTTCACGGAAGCTGTCATAATAGGAACTTTATCTTTTAAAAAGGAAAAGAAAAAGTCACAATCACTCTCATTAAATTTTGATTTATATAATAATATGAATAGATGTGATAATCAATCAAAGTTTTCTCTTCACTTACATTGTTATTTATGCTACGTTTATTAATAGTTTTTGAAGATTGTCTATGCTTTACTAAATTAAAAAAGTATGAAGAATTTTTCTCCCCCTCCTCTATCCATTTCACTCTAGATCGTAAAGCTCCTTTAGCTTTCTCTGTATAATAGTAATCCAACTCTGATGGCAAAATACGAAGTTCATTTTGTTTTATATCTCCAAGAAAATCTTTATCACCAAGGTCATTTAATCTAGATAAAACTGTTAACTGTCTTTTTTTCCTAACAGAGGAAAACAATAGCTCATTACATCAGATCAAGCCATTTTTTTAACTCGATTTATTTTCAATTTGAGTAAAGCATGTGGCAAAAGAACAAGAAAACCAAGCCGCAAATAGGGAGAAAAGCATTTGCCGAATGCTTATTTAAAAAGCTGTTTAAAATGTGTTTTGTGATTTATTAACCCAAATTTTTACTGTTTCATTAATCAGCCTTTAAAACATGGATTAAATAATAATACAGTAATAAAAGTGTCTATTTATTTATACATTTTAAATGTTTTTGTTTTATTGCTTAATTAAATTACTTTTAAAAACACAATTCAAGCATATCTATTTATTTGTCCATTTAAATTGTGATTTATTTATGTACATTTTTATGCTGGTCGAAGCAGTGGCGCAGTAGGTAGTGCTGTCCCCTCACAGCAAGAAGGTCGCTGGTTCGAGCCTCGGTTCAGTTGGCGTTTCTGTGTGGAGTTTGCATGTTCTCCCTGCATTCGCGTGCTTTTAATCCGAGTGCTCCGGTTTCCCCCACAGTCCAAAGACATGCGGTACAGGTGAATTGGATAGGCTAAATTGTCCATAGTGTATAAGTGTGTGTGTAAATGTGTGTGTGTGGATGTTTCCCAAAGATGGGTTGCAGCTGGAAGGGCATCCGCTGCGTAAAAACTTGCTGGATAAGTTGGTGGTTCATTCCGCTGTGGCGAACCCAGATTAATAAAGGGACTAAGCTGACAAGAAAATGAAGACATTTTTATGCTTCAATAATTAAATTGATCATTTGAGTCTTTGTTTTTCTAACTAGCACTCTTGTACGGTGGCCGGGAAGTGCAAAACAACATTACAAAGTTTGAAACACCTTTAAAAAACTCGAGACAAATTTACATTTTAAAAAACATCTTTACTTATCATCAGACACAATTACAGAGGAAAAACAATTTTACCAAGGACGAAACAAATTTACATTTTAGAAAACAAATTAACATGACGCAAAACACTGAACAAATTTACAATTACAGATTCCCTTTGGAAAGGGAATGTACCACACCCCGGAAGTGACGTAGAATGTACCACACACTGGTAGTGAACCGGAATGTAACACACACACTGGAAAATATCAACAATATCCAGCTTGTGTGTGACTTCGTAGACAGGTTTCCACAAGTCTACAACTATAAAAATCACGGTTTGACTAACTGTGATAAAACATATTAGAGCTATTCTGAGAAAATATCAGCGTGAGAGTGCATAGAAACATGTTAATGCAAGTACATGGAAACAATTCAAGCACGGCACATGTTGACTGATAAGATACCGAAACCGATTTCAGAACCTTTTGACTTGGGTTCGAATCCAGTTGATGTCAATTATAATT